CATGGTGTTGGCATAGAAACAGAAAGGAGGATCAATGGAACCGCATAGAAGACCCAGAAATAAACCCACACACCTATGAATACTCAATATTCGACAAAGAAGCCAAATCCATTCAATGGAAAAAAGACAGCATCTTCAACAAATGGTGCTGGACCAACTGGATGTCTACATGCAGAAAAATGAAAATAGATCCATATTTATCACCCTGCAAAAAAACAAAGTCCAAGTGGATCAAGGACCTCAACATAAAACCAGATACTCTAAATCAGTTGGAAAAAAAAGTGGGAAACAGCCTAGAACTCATTGGCACAGGAGACAACTTCCTGAACAGAACACCAACAGCACAGGCTCTAAGAGCAACAATCAATAAATGGGACCTCATGAAACTGAAAAGCTTCTGTAAAGCAAAAGACACTGTCATCAAAACAAATAGACAGCCTACAGATTGGGAAAGAATCTTCACCAACCCTTTATCTGACAGAGGGCTAATATCCAGTATATATAAAGAACTAAAGAAGCAGAAAAGCAGCAAACCAAGTAATCCAATTAAAAAATGGGGAACAGAGCTAAACAGAATTCTCGAAAGAGGAACATCGAATGGCAGAGAAACACTTAAAGAAATGCTCAACCTCATTAGCCATTAGGGAAATGCAAATCAAAACAACCCTGAGATTTCACCTTACACCCATCAGAATGGCCAAGATGAAAAACTCAAGTGATAGCACATGCTGGAGAGGTTGTGGAGAAAAGGGAACCCTCCTCCATTGCTGGTGGGAATGTAAACTGGTTCAACCACTTTGGAAGTCAATCTGGCGCTTTCTCAGACAATTAGGAGTAGTGCTACCTCAAGACCCAGCTATACCACTCCTAGGTATATACCCAAAATTTGCTCAAGTACACAACAAGGACATTTGTTCAACCATGTTTGTAGCAGCTTTATTTGTAATAGCCAGAACTTGGAAACAACCCAGATGTCCATCAACGGAGGAATGGATACAGAAATTGTTGTATTTTTACACAATGGAATACTACTCAGCAATCAAAAAGGAGGAAATCATGAAATTTGCAGGCAAGTGGTGGGATCTAGAAAAGATCAGTCTGAGTGAAGTATCCCAGAAGGAGAAAGACAAACTTGGTATATACTCGCTTATATAGACCTACAAGATATGATAAACATAATGAAATCTACACACCTAAAGAAGATAATCAAGAAAGTAGACACAGGCGAAGGTGATTAATCCTCATTGAGAAAGACAAATGGGATGTGCATTGAACGTATGACAGGAGGCTACCACAAAAGGCATCTGAAAGACTCTACCTAGCAGTGTTTCAAAGCAGACACTAAGACTCATAACCAAACCCTCGGCAGAGTGCAGGGAATCATATGAAAGAAGGGAAGTTAGTATGATATGGAAAGGATAGGAGCTCTACATGGACCAAATATATCCGGGCACAGGGTCTTTTCTGAGACTGACACTCAACCAAGGACCATCTATGGATATAACCTAGAACTTCTGCTCGGATGTGGCCCGTGGTAGCTCAGTAACCAAGTAGTTTTCCAAAGTAAGGGGAACACGGACTATTTCTAACAGCATCTCAAGGGCAGGCTGTTTGACATCCCCCCCCCCCCCGGGGAGGAGCAGTCTGTTAGGCCACAGAGGAGGACTTTGCAGCCAGCCCTGAAGATACCTGATAAAACAGGGTCAGATGAAAGGGGAGGAGGTCCTCCCCTATCAGGGGACTTGGAAAGGGGCAGGGAGGAGACCAGGGAGGGAGTGCGGGGTTGGGGAGGGAATGAGGGAGTGGGATACAGCTGGGACACAGAGTTAACAAAATGTAACTAAAAAGAAAAATAAAATTTAAAAAAAAGATGAAAAAAATAAAAATAAAAAGTTCTCACAATAATTTTAAGGCAATATTCTCTTGGCTTAGTTATTTCATGAGTATACAAGTTTTCTAGAGCCCTCATGACTTTTGAGTCCCAAAAGATGGAATACAGCATGGTGACATGCAGGCAAACATGGTGCTAGAGAAAAGCTGAGAGTTCTACACCGTTATCTAAAGGCAGCAAAGGGAGACTAAGTATCACATTAGGCATAGCTTGAGCATAGGAGACCTCAAAGCAGTGACACACTTCCTCCAAGGCCACACCCTGAGTCTATGGGAAGCCATACCTCTTCAAACTACCACAATGAACATTCCAGCTGTTTTATTTATTTATTTATTTTTTTATGTATAAATGTCTGCATGTATGTCTATACACTCTGAACAGGACTGGTGTCTTCAGAGGCCAAAAGAGAGATATTGAATCCCCTGCAACTGGAATTAAAATGGAGTTCCAGCTGGCTGCAATCTACCATAATATCCAACTTTGATGGGAGAGGTTCTTTTAATAGCATATTATATTTTGTTATGTTTTAAAAAATGAATGAAAACTTAGATGATAAGGTAAAGGTTAACAACTGAATTTAGGTTATACCTCCTGAGAGAGGAAAAATCAAATTTTCCCAATAGTATGATTTTGGGCATTTCAACCACTCTAGGACAGACGATGCATTCAGGATTTGTTGACTAATATAAACTCTTCAGGCTTTGTGTGTGGCTGCTTTTATTTTGTTTCAGTTTGGTGTATTTGGAGTGTGTGGTTCTTATCTCTTGCCTTGGTTTAGGGGATTTTATTGCTGAGTTTTTGTGAAAATGAATTTTTTTAAAGCATAAGGAAAAAAGAGAAATGAACATGCAAACATAAAAGCGACACAGGACATCCTCGCTGCAGAGAACCAAAGAATCAAACACATGAAATTGAAAGTTCTGGAAGAAAACCAAAAGATTGGATAGAAAAACGCTTTACAAAATAAGAGTCAAAAATGTTATGTTTGGTCTAATGCCTTGGTTTAGATAAACAGGCTGATGGACTGGAGAGATGTGTCAGAAGTAAAGAGCACTTTTTGTTTTCTTCCAGAGGACCAAAGTTCAAGTTGTAGTATTCATGTCAGGCAGTTCTAACCTCCTATAGCTACGGCTACAGGGGACAGAATTCTTTCAGCTCCTACTCATGTGCATATACCTACATACATACACATAATTGTAAAAATAATCTTAAAGAGAGTGGGAGAGGCTGGAGAGATGGTTCATTCATCAAGAGCACTGGTTACTCTTCCAGACCATCCAGATGCTTTTCTCAGCATTCACAACTATCTGTCTTTCCATTTTCAGCTGTCTTGGAATCATAATGCTGCTTCTTCAGGATTCCATGTCAGAAAACCCATCTTTATGAAAACAAACAATAAATTCTGGTACCGATATAGGTGAAGAAGAAGCCAGGTACACTGCTGCTATGACTCTGAACTCATGTGAAGATTAAAGAAATCACTGTGAAACTTTCACAAAATCTAGAAGCGCCACATGTTTCATTGTTGTAACTTCTGGTTTTATACCTGAAGGATATAAGCCAGAATGTCACAGAGGCACTTGTACATATATGTTTATTATTACACTCTAAAAACCTCAAACATGGAATAATCTGATATCCATTAAAAGATAAATAGATAAAGAAAATGTCATACACATACGCTTTAGAATTTTATTCACTTTTCAAGAAGATTGAAAACATGACCATTTCAAAAAAGTTTATGAAACTGAGGGATGAATATATTAAATGATATAAGGAAGACCAAGATAAACAAGTATCTCATTTTTTTCCTTTATAAAACCTAGATTAAAACATACATTTGTATATATGTGTATGTTGGATATAAAAGAGGGGGGAAAACCTATGAGAATGGCTGAAGGAGTTTAACATGAAGGATGAGAGAGGGAAATGACTGGGTAATAAATTGTCACTGCCATAAAGATAAAAGAGTGAGTTACAGAAAGGTGGAAAATAACAAGACAGAGGAGTGGAAGAGATAGCAGTGACGAAGGTAAAATTATAAAGACACATATAGGTAGATGTTACAATCAAACTCAAAATATTGCTATTAAAATGTAAAATGTACAGTATATATATTTTAAATAATATCATTGTGAAAATTTATGGAAAGAATGTTATAATTTGATAATGATGTTTAATTATGTAATCAGCATGGTAATGACAATATTTATGGGGTATAGAGTATATCTAATATGTGTGTGTATACTGATACAATAGAAATTTCTATTTATTTCTTATGTCTTATATGAACTTATAGTTCATTCTATACATTAAATATGTTTCCATAAGACAGAAACCCAGTCTAGTTTGCTTGTAATATATTCACAAGATGCTATGTGGTTTCATTCATTATTGCACACATTATTATCCTCCTTCCCACCTTAAATCTGCATATGCAAATATCTCACAAATTACAATAGGCCATAAATCGTTACTTACTAAACCCTTAAACTTTAGTCAGTTAGAATTCTGGGAATCATCAAACTTTTCAGGTTAGTAGTATAGACAGGGTTGGCTAAATTTCTCTGAAGAATCGATAAGAACATATTTTCAGTTTTAAAAGCTGTGTGGCCTCTGTCATTACTGCTGAAGTCTGTCAGCACAGAGGGAGAGCAGCCAGGTGAATCACAGTTCTGGCTCTTTGGTAGAGTGTACCCATCACTTTGCTTAGATAACATATTACACAAACTTTCCCTTTTAGTGAACATATGATGAATATGACTTAGAACAAGTCTACCTAAAAGTCCCATGGATTTCTGTGTGGGTAAGTACATTTGGTAACATGCCAAAATTTTGTGGACACTTATATCTGTTTTAGTGAGAAATGAAATTTCCATATTCTTTTAGTTATTGTCTATTTGGAAAATGTAATATTATCTCTACTCATTATTCATACAACAAAGCTGTTTAAGAGGTAAATTGAAATTGCTCAAGAAATTTTGGGGGTGGACATAACATAAGCAAGCATTGTGTTTAACAGCATATGCATATAAAAACAAAATTGCAATAACAGTATTCTCATGTCTTAAAAATTGTGTTATACTTCCTTATTTTCTAATGTACTTCTTTAGTCATAATTTTGTGCAGCAATTAATTTATCTTGGTCTTTAGATGGGGAGACATTGAAAAGTAGTTGGCAGTAACAAGTGATTGTATCAAAACAAGCAGCATGTCTATTAAGGTGAGCTTGAAGCCAGGAACACAGAAGTCCACAGCAAAGGAAGGCAACCTGATAGACATGCTCTACACTAGGAGACCGAATAACTGGTGTGAAAATGAGACAAACTGATGAAACTATAGATCCAAATATAAACGGCAGCCACACCTGAAAGAAAAAAGAAAAGTAAGACTTTTTTGTTTTGATGTCATGGTAAGTTCTTATGACAAAAGACATTATATATATTACACAACCAAAAGGAAGTGAGTGCTTATGTATATTCAAGTTTGCAAATAGGCTTTTTTGCTGTTATATAACAGAAAACAAATTTTTGCAGATTAAATATCATAAAAAGTCATTGTGAACTTACTTATTTACACACCATTTCCACAAATTTCTACTCTATTCATCACATTGAGTCATCATTCACTAAAGCCAGTGCTTTATTTTCAAACATTAGAGAGCTTTGTTCCTTCACAGACACCACTGCCATCAGAAAAAATAAAGTGCCATACTACTATCGGGTATTGCAATGATCTACTGAATTAAGAAAATTAACTATTTTTAATCATAGGCAGTCTTCTTCATCCCTTCCCTTATCTCCTACTTTGCTTACTTTTTATTAATTTTTAGTTGGCATAGTATAGTGATATGTTAATAGGTATAGTGATATGCTTATTCCTGGAACTTTCACATGCATACATAATTCTATTTTTATCTTATTTAAATCACCATCCCTTTTGCCTTTTTGTTTTTCTCTTTCCTCCCCCAAAATTGTTCTCATGTTGGCTTCCTGAAATATGATGGATTTTCTGTTCTCTAAATCTCTGCCTTTTAGGTATCATCATCCTTTCTGATTTTATTTCTATATTTATGTCTTATATATGCATATGTACAAACACATATTTAAAAAATAAACCTGGTTTCTGGCCTTATGTCTAAATATGCATAGTATTATATTTATTGATTTAAATATGTTCAATTATACTTTCATTCCTGATATTAAGCCAAATTTTCCTGTTGTGCCTGATCCATTTGACATACTCTCAAATTGAAATTGGAAATACTTTGCTAAGAATTGTTGTTCATATATTCACCAGAAAAAAAAATGTCTTATAGTTTTGTTTATTTTTTTGAGATCTTACTCAGTTTTGGTGTTATGGTAATGCTGGCATTGTAGAATGGCTTTATCAGCATTCCTTCCCTTCAGATTGTATGGAATAGTTTGACAAGCATTTGTGTCAGCTCTTTTTTTCTTTCTTTCATTTATTGATTTTTATTACTTTATATATATATTTTTGAAGCTCAATTATTTTTTAATTTTTTCCTTTCAATGGTATAGGAAAAAAAATTCTTTTTCTTTTTTACTATTAATTACGCTTTACTAATTTTGTATCCCCCATAAGCCCCTCTCTCCTCCCCTCCCAATCACACCCTCCCTCCCCCTTCTTCATGCATGCCACTCCCCAAGTCCACTGATAGGGGAGGGTCCTCTTCTCCTTCCTTCTGATCTTAGTCTATCAGATCACATCAGGAATGGTTGCATTGTCTTCTTCTGTGGCCTGGTAAGGCTGCTCCTCCCTCAGGGGGAGGTGATCAACGAGCAGGCCAATCAGTTTATGTCAGAGGCAGTCCCTCTTCCCATTACTATGTATCCCACTTGGACACTGAACTATCATGTGCTACATCTGTGCAGGGGTTCTAGGTTATCTCCATCAATGGTCCTTGGTTGGAGTATGAGTCTCTGGAATGTTCCCTGTGTTCAAATTTTCTGGTTCTGTTGCTCTTCTTGTGTGGTTCTGTCATGCAGGTACAGCTGGCAGTTGCAGCTGAGGAGCTAGGAGTCCCGCCTGTGCTGTGTCAGTCCCCAGGCAGTGAATTCTGTGCTCAGCATCACAGGCACTGTGAGTAGGCTCCTCTGAGGAGGGCGAAGGCCCAAAAAAAGGGAAGCGCCTCTCTATTTCCCAGAGAAGTCTGCAGCTGACCTGAATCTAAATGTTCTCTGCTTCTGTGATGTCCCTTCTCTTTCAGGAAGCCTCAACATCGATTTTCTGCCTTCAGTTGCCCCTCCACTCACCAATTTTGTAGGTTCAGATCCTCTGCCTCTCAAAAATGGTGCGTGCTGATCACCGCCATCTTGGTTCTCCCCCTCTTCATTAACTTTGACTAATGTGTGTTTACTTCTTTTATACCCTCTCTGAACACAGCAAGTCTCAAAAAATATATTTATCCCCATTTCCTGAATTACCTTCATTTTCTGAGTTTAATACATTCATGTATTAAAGAATGCACAATGTATCCAGGGTATCATTCATTTTGCTGACATTGGATGCACTTGAAGAAGAAGCAATTACAAGAAAGTAGAATGTAGAGTATGGTATCAACTTATATTTCTCAAAATATGGTCAGAGATCCACTATTTAGAAGGATCTCAAGATGAGTGATATAAGTACACATTTCTGTGACCCAAACAGAGACTGAGTGAATCAGAATCCTTAGGGGAAAATCTGTCAATGTGGATTTTATTAACACAACTCATGTGATTGTTACGGCCACTGTCATAAAATATGGAAATTTTTATCATTTGTAGCATATGAGCAAAAACATGATACGGTTTAAATCCTCTGCAATTCATGGGAATATTGAAAAGGAAAACAAAGTTTATGGACCATCTCTCTGGGTTTACGTTATATCAATGTGTGACTTATGCATCACAAAAATAATATAAATGAAAACAATCAATGATAAGTCTTTCCTTAAAATCTTGAATTAAATAAAATGTCAACAAAGGAAATAAACAAAAAAGAGGGAACTACATATACTATGTTGATTTATGGAGTGAGAAGGTATATTTGAGCATGGAAACTACTGGTTTTTCTTTAATATTATTGTTTGCTTCCAGGAAGATGATCTGCCTTCTCTGCAATGTATCAGTTTTCACCTTTTACACAATAAAAGGGAATCGTCAAATGGCCCATAATACAAAAGCTGGTACATCTAATGGTTTTGCAATTGGTTAGAAGAATCTCACAGACCTTGATCAAGGTGTCATCGAACATTAATATTTAACTATTGACTTACCTTATAAAGTCTTGGTAGATCAGGGTTCTTGTACCTTAGTCTTAGCAACCCAATCATACTAAGCAAATTTACACACCATGATCCTAGACCCACATATTTCACTAAGTAGACTAAACTTGAAGTTATTATTGCCACAGAAGATATAATGGAAATCTGGATGACAGCTACAAGTGATAAGTGGTGGTCATTAATCATTGAGATGATGAAAGGAAATTGACCAACTTGACTTGCACAGTAAAATATTCTTGATGCTGAAAGTATTCCACAAGATATGCCATCCATCAGTGAAATTGAGATCACTGAAGAAATAACCCATTGCATGGAAGGAAAGACTCTGTCTGTCCACGTGACAGAAACCGAATCTATAAAAATGAAATGAAAATTCAAAAAAGTCAAAGTCAGTTTTGCTTGAAAGCAAATAGAACATTATTTTTGTAATTGTTTCTTTACCCCTACATTTTGTAATATGAATTGGTGATTCTTTCTAAGAGACAAAGTTTCTTACTTCTTAAATATGTTGTGCTTTGTGATTCGTTTTGTAGATTAACGCATATTAGAAGTGAATGTTTGAGACCTTCAAGACTTCTCAGTGACAGGAAAAATAGTTATTGCTCTCTTGATTATTAATCTGCCTATCGCATGTTAACACTCCTTAACCTGTTTGTCACCACATAACACAGAAAAAAGCCAAACTAGTTGTCAAGTCCAGGCACTTCATGATACATATCTCCCAGTACAAATGGCCTAAAACTCAGCCACTATGTTGTAGAAGCAGTTGTGAAATTTGTGTAGTGTGATACCTCACATCACTCCCTTTAATGCCCCTGAGCTGCAGAAATACTTGGAGGCACTCCTGTGCAGATCTTCTTTGACACTGCCAAACCTTGCTTATACTACTATGTCATTTTTTTTATAACCATCTATAGAAGACTTAAAACATCTTAAAGAAAGACTACGTATGCACTGCTTTTTATTACAATACTATTCCCTACCTGGAATTGAAAATTTTGTAGTAATCTCGTGTAGAGGAAAAGAAAGTTGACGCTGACCAGAGCAGGCACTTTCTACTAAGAAAAAGTTTTCATCAATTTTTGAAAACTTGTCAGATTACACGAGGCCCAACAATAATGAATGGATGATGATGGGGCCACACTTATGCCTGGTGGAATTGTGATGACTATAAATTAAAAGCCAATCAGGAAAATAGCTACTCACATTTATAAGTCACTAGCAACATCCTAGACAAAACAGAATGTTATAATATGTAAAGTGTGGCTGAGAACTGATTGCAACTCACTTTTGCATCCATTTATGATGGATACAAGTAACAACCTTAGTAAAAATCTTGGTATTAGTTTTCACATCTAAGAAAGAAAGAAACTATTGTCTCTTTTGAACAGCTTCTTTCATTGTAGAGATAAAAATGTATCCTGAAGTATGGAGCACCTAAGCATAGTATCTATTCTTGTGTTCTTGTTCTGCTTGTTCAGGTGTCTTATCATCTTTTTCTTTATTCTCTTCCTCCTCTTCTTTCTTTTTTCTTTGTTTTTGTTTCTGTTACTACATGTGCTACCTGGTCTATAATTTAGTTGTTAACATATTACGTTTATCTTTTATTAGATGGTTTAGATCATCATGTTATTCTTAGATTCATTGAAAAGTCCAAAGCCAGAATAACAAGGAATAAATAAATAAATAAATAAATAAATAAATAAATAGATTTTACAGCCCTGTATATATTCTAGACATGTCCATAGCATATAAAATTTGCAAACTTTATTTCTAAATGCAGTGAGATATCTATTCTATTTAATTTTACTTCATCATACCTGAAGAGATGATTTCTTGAGGTGTCAAAACTGCCAAATATGATATATTAGTCAGCAAGTACAACACAGTCACAATGGACATGACAGAATATAAAATTTTTGGAATTGTTTCAGTGGGACATTTTATTTCTCCTACAAAAAAAATGAATGAATGCATTAGAAAAGAGCATATCTAAAGAAACTAAGCAAGAAGGAGGACCCTCAGTAAGATGATCAATCCTCATTCAGAAAGGCAAATGGGTTGGACATCGAAAGAGGGAGAAAACAAGGAACAGGACAGGAGCCTACCACAGAGGGCTTCTGAAATACTTCACCCAGCAAGATATCGAAGTAGATGGTGAGACTCAGCTAAACTTTGGGCACAGTGCAGCGAATATTATGAAGGAAGGGGGAGATGAAAGACCTGGAGGGCTATTCAATCTGTTTACCTGATCTTGATTTAATTTTGGTAAATGGAATCTATCAAGAAAATTGTCCATTTCATTTATATTTTCAAACTTTGTGGCATACAGGCTTTTGTAGTAAGATGTAATGATTGTTTGGATTTCCTCAGACCAGTGTCTGTTGTTATGTCCCCCTTTTTATTTCTGATTTTGCTGAATTAGATAGTTTCTATCTGCCTTTTAGTTAGTTTGGCTAAAGCTCTCTCTATCTTGTTGGTTTTCTCAAAGAACCAGCTCTTGGTTTCATTGATTCTTTGAATTGTTTTCTTTCTAATTTATTGATTTTAGCCCTGAGCTTGAGTATTTCCACCTGTGTACTCCTCTTGGGTGTGTCTACTTATCCACAACCCCAGGGATTTTAGGTGTGACATTAAGTTGCTTGTATGAGATGTTTCAAATTTTTTCTTGAAGACACATAGTGCTATGAACTTTCCTCTTAGCACTGCTTTCATTGTGTCCTATAAGTCTGGGTAAGTTGTGCCTTCACTTTCATTGAATTTTAGGAAGTCTCTAATTTCTTTTTTCATTTCTTCCCTGACCAAGTTGTCATTGAGTAGAGAGTTGTTTAGTTTCTATGTGTATGTAGGGTTTTTTGTTATTTCTGTTGTTGAGGTTTAGTTTTAGGCCACAGTGGTCTGATAGGATACAAGGGATTATTTTGATCTTTTTGTATCTGTTGAAGCTTGCTTTGTGCCAGACTATACAGTGAATTATTGAGAAGGTTCCAAGAGGTGCTGAATAGAAGATATACTCTTTTGAGTTTGGATGAAAAGTTCTGGAGACATCTATTAGTTCCATTCGATTTAGGACCTCTGTAAGTGTTATTTCCCTATTTGTTTTTTGTCTAGATGACCTGTCCCTTGGGGGGAGTGGGGTGTTGAAATCTCTCAGTATTAAGCTGTTGGGATCAATATGTGATTTAAGCTTTAATTATGTTTCATTTACTAATGAAGGTGCTCTTGTATTTGGGGCATAGATGTTCAGGATTGTGATGTCCTCTTGGTGGAGTTTTCCTTTGATGAGAATCAAATGCCCCTACTCATCTTTTTTGATTAATTTTTGTTGCAAGTCTATTTTATTAGATGTTAGGATCACTACCCCAGATTGTTTTCTTGGGTTCATTTGCTTGAAAAACATTTTTCCAGCCCTTTACTGTGAAGTAGTGTTTATCTTTGTTACAGAAGTGTGTTTCTTGGATAATAGTGACCAATGAATGTTAGTTCCTCTTATTGTGGAGTTGGTGGTGTTACTGTGTTTCTCTGCTTGTTTTCATTGTTCACTATTATCTACTAACATCAATGGATTCAACTCTCCAGTAAAAAGACACAGACTAACAGAATGGTTTCAGAAACAGGATCCAACACTTTGCTGCATCCAAGGAAAGGATGCATCAAAAGAAAAATCCACCAGGAAGACATCACAATTCTGAACATCTATGCCCCAAATACAAGAGCACCTACATTCTGTAAAGTAAAGGACACTGTCATCAGAACAAAACGACAGCCTACAGACTGGGAAAGGATCTTCACCAACCCTATATCTGACAAAGGGCTAATATCCAGAATATATGGAGGAGTGAAGAAGCAACAAATCAAGTTAACCCAATTAAAAAATAGGGTACAGAGTGAAACAGAATTCTCTGTAGAGGGGTATAAAATGGCAGAGAAAAACTTAAAGAAATGTTCAATGTCCTTAGCCATCAGGAAGATGCAAATCAAAATGACCATGAGATTTCACTTTACATCCATCAGAATGATTAAGATAAAAAACTCAAGTGACAATACATGCTGGAGAGGATGTATAGAAAGGGGAACCCTCCTCCATTGCTAGGGAGAATGTAAACTTGTACAACTACTTTGGAAATCAATCTGGCACTTTCTCAGACAATTAGAAATAACGCTTCCAAAGATCCAGCTATACCACTCCTAGGCATATATTCAAAATATGCTCAAGTACAGAGTAAGGGCATTTGTTCAACCATGTTCATAGCAACTTTATTTGTACTAGCTGGAATCTGGAAATAACCCAGGTGTCCCTCAATGGAGGAATGAATACAGACAATGTGGTACATTTGCAGAATGGAATACTTCACAGCAATTAAAAACAAGGAAAGTATGAAATTTTCAGGCATATGGATGGAGCTAGAAAAGATCACCTGAGTGACATAATCCAGAAGCAGAAAGACACACACAGTATATACTCACTTATAAGTGCATACTAGACCTATAAGATAGGATAAACATACTAAAATCTGTACACCTAAAGAAACTAAATATGAAGGAGATCCCTGGGTAAGATGTTCAATCTTCACTCAGAAAGACAAACAGGATGGACATTGGATGAAGGAGAAAACAGGACAGGAGCCTACCACAGAGGGCCTACCACAGACTGCCCAGCAGTGTTCAAAACAGATGCTGAGACACTTAATAAAACTTTGGGTAGAGTTCAAGGAATCCTATGAAAGAAGAGGGAGATAGTGGAAACTGGAGAGGATAGGAACTCCAAAATAACATCAACAGAACCAAAATTTCTGGGCACAGGGGTTTCTCTGTGACTGATACTCCAACCAAGGACCATGCATAGACAAAACCTAGAACCCCTGCTCAGATGTAGCCCATGGAAGCTCAGTATCCAAGTGGGTTTAATAAGAGGAATAGGGACTGTCTCTGACATGAACTCAGTGGCAGCCTCTTTGACCACCCTCCCCGAGGGGGGAGCAGCCTTGCCGGGCCACAGAGGAGGACAATGAAGCCAGTCTTAATGAGACCTGATAAGCTAAGGCAGATGGAAGAGGAGGAGGACCTCCTCTATCAGTGGACTTGGGGAGGGGTATGGGAGGAGATGAGGGATTGAGAGTGGGATTGGGAGGGAATGTAGGTGGTCATTAATATTTATTAATGATATATCTTCTGGTAAAGCTGCTGTTAGTCCTAACCAAATCACCACACAGAGACTGGGTTTATTTAGTTAACCTAGAACACAATGCTGGGCAATAGTTACTCCCTCTTAAAACCTCCAAGCCCTCATAGTTTCCTAACATTTAGATTTAACCCATTATACTTGCTTTTTGTGAAATCTTAGGTGTGGTTCATTCTCTCCATGCTGTTCCAAGATCTCCTCCCAGCTTGGCTCTCTTCGCTCTCTCCCTCACCCTCTCTCCTCCCACTCATTTCCTGCCCTCTGGCTCCCCCCATTGCTCAACATTATGGCTAGTTGCTTTATTTTGACCTGTCTACACAAAGTTGAGACAGGATGCTTAGAGTAAGTATCACAATATCCAGATTGAAACCGGGGGGAGGGGGGAGAAATCAGCATTTGAATGAACAAGGGTAAGGTGTATACATTTCAAAAGAATATTATACCAACAGCTGGATATCATCAGCAACAGAAAACTTATAAACTCATGGAAACTGAACAATTTCTGCTGAGTGAAAATGGATCAAGAAAGGAAGATAAAAAGAAATTTAAGGACTTTCTAGAATTCAAGGAAAATAAATATACAGCATACCCAAACTTAAGGGAAACAAAGATGTGCTAAGAGGAAATTTCAGAGCACTAAGTGCCTACATTTAAAAAAAAAATGGAGAGATCTCACAGCAACAGCTTAACAAAACATCTGAAAGCTCTAGAATAACAAAAACAAAATAAAACAAAAATCAAGATGCAACACACCTAAAAGAAGAGAACTGCAGGAAATAGACTGAGGGATGAAATGAATAAAATAGAAAAAAGAGAATGAAACAAAGGACCTGGAAAAATTAGTTGGTCCTTTGAGAACATCAATAAAATATACAAATCTTGATGAAACCTATATAAAAGACAGAGAGAAAATATTACCAAATTAACAGAATCAGAAACAAAAAAGGTGTATATAAAAGCAAAGAGGAAATTAGTGAATGCCGAGGATATACTTTAAAATCCTTTATTCTAATGAATTTTAAAATATAAAACAAATGTATAATTTTCCCAATAGGTACCACTTACAAAGTTAAACCAAATTCAGAAAAACAATTTAAATAGACCTATAATCCCTAATGAAATGGAAGCAGTCATTAGAAATCTCTAAACCATAAAAACATCCAAGGCCAGCTGGATTTTATTATGGAATTCTACCAGACTTTCAAAGAAGAGTTAATGCAGATTCTACTCAAAGTATTCCACGAAATAAAAAAAAAAAAACAGAAATAACACTGTCCAATTCATTTCATGAGGCCATAGTTATCATGACATCCAAACCACATGAAGACTCAACAAAGAAAATAAGTTCTAAACTTATTTCCTTTATAAACGTAAATTCAAAAATAATCAATAAATTACTTTCAAACCAAATCCAAGAACACATAAAAAAAAAAAAAAAAACATACACCATGATTAAGTAGGCTTCATCCTGGAGATGCAGGAATGGTTTAATACAAAAAATTTAATAAATGTAAGCCACCCTATAAACAAACTAAAAGGAAAAAACCCCACATGATCAACTTATTAGATGCAGAGAAGGCCTATGACAAAATTCAACACTTTTTCATGGTAAAAGTCCTGCAGAGATTAAAGATACAATGGATATACCTCAATATAATAAAGGTGAATCGCAGCAAGCCCAAGCCAATGCCAAATTATATGTAGAAAAATTCAAAGCAAGTCCACTAAAAGGAGGAATATGACAAGGTTATTGACACCTATCCACACACA